CAAACCTAAATTATTTCACAGGAAGATGGGCATTTAACATGGAGTGCTTATCTTCTTTTGTTCTTGTCCTAATATGGGGAACATTACCCTGTTGATGTAAACAATTAATAATCCCATAGATAATATTCGATCTCATATTGAATAAAACAATAAAGATAAAGATGTCTAGTTTTGAGCTCGTAAGAACACATATTGAAAGCTTGACTAAATTTATGAAATACAATGCTAAATAAGCTCTCAGAATACTCAGTCTCTCTCTCTCTCTCTCAATCATTAGTGTATAAAAACGAAGACGTCGATCATTTTCTTTTGATAATTGTGAATCTTCAGAATCTTCACCAAGGGCAAGTTTCCTTCATTGTCCATTCTTGAAGATCTTTAAATCACCTTAAATATGCAAGTTCCGAAGTCATGTAGGAACACAAATTTCCTCATTTGCAAAATTCGACGGATATTGTTCCAACTGGTCTATATCTTCAATATTCTCCGTTCCTCTAAGTCATTGTACTCATGTCCTCATCCTTGAGCCGCACCCATATACTTCCATGCTTGTCCTTCCTAAATAGATAGTTAAATCTAAATAAAATCTAACTCAATATACAACAATTAATAACACGAAAGCTTCATAAATAAGTCGATCTTTAATCTTTTATTTGTCTTGCTTTATTTTTAAGTAATCTACAAGAAATATAATCAAATAAAAAAAAAAAGTTATTCGAATTATGTCAATTCAAAATCCTAACACATACCATTTTTGGTACCTTATAATGTGTCTATCATACACAATCAAGATCTGGTGTTTCACGTTTTCTGCTGTTGATTAATGTTCCTCATTATATCCATAGTTCTACTTCTATATGATGCAGCTCAATAATCATATACTCATTATGTATAAACATATAATTTGTGTCCACCATGGCAGGTGATGAGATTGTAATTTTGTTCTCCATTCATAGTATTGATAAAGGGAGGTTTTTTATTTATTTTATTTTTGTTAACATGAGGACAAGTTTACAGTAGATATTAATTAAATTTTTAGCAAAATGATAATGCTCAGTCCTTTTCGTTTCATTTTATCTGTCACATTCTCAAAATTTATTTGTTCTATTTAATTTATCAGGTTAATAAAATCAAGACCTATTAATCACATATATTGTTAAATGATGGGTGTATTGATTCTATCTCAAGTCCATTGCTGAGTTTGAAAGTGAACAAGTTCAACATATATATCATCATATTTAGAAATAAAATAATAACTAGTATTCGATCTTGTGCATTTGCACAGATGTAAATAAAATTAAATATTATAAGTTATATTTATGTATATAATTTTAAATTTATAAATTATATAATAGTATTATATTTTAAAATTTGATCATTGGTTAAAATAAATAGTACACACGATTTGATTGTATACGAATCACTATATTGATTGCATAAAATGCAATAAATACATACTTTTTATAATTTTGAGTGATCATGACCAATTAATTAGCTGAAAAATATTACATTTATTATAACAATTGCTTATGTGATTTTAAGAAATTTTACTATGACATAAATAAAATTAATTTATTAATAAACAACATCTTCATCATATAAAAAAATATTGATTTTAGTGTAAAATATAATTTTATGTAACTTTCATATATTATTTAGTATAAAATATAATTACTAATTTTAATATTAACTATTATATTATTCAATAAAAAATATAATTACTAATCAATTAACATAAAATATAATGGCTTTTGTCTTAATTAATCCAAAAAATGTAATGAAATATTTTCTTATTAATGAGATTGGGTGTATTAATGCCACATAAATAAAATTTATTAGGTTCTATTTATTAAGTTTTATTAATGATTTGCCACATAGGTAAAATTTATTAAATTTTATTTATTAGGTAAAATTTATTGCTTAGCTAGCAATTATATATATATATAGATAATAATAATAATAATAAGTAATCACTTTCTATACTATACGCGAATGAATTAATTAAAATTCTAAAACAAAAACCAGCCACTTGTGATCTCAAATCCACTCGTTAGATTGGATGTATTTTTTTTTTTCATTTTTATCTGTTTAGTGGAAAATTATTCTTATCGAAACAAAAATAAAATATTACAAAAGATATTCTTTATTAATTCCATCTTATATTTCTCTAAAAATCTTACTAACACTATTAAAAAATAACTATTATTATGTATTTTTCTACCAAACTATTATTTAGATATTCATGTATTTCACTATTTCTAACTACCAATCACTATCAATTAATATTTTATTATTCTTATGTTGTATTGATTTTAAATATTACATATTTATATCATATTAATTTAGAATCCTAAAATATCTCACTTTATGAAAATGATTTATGTTCATCTTTTAATTAGATTAAAAAAAAAAAAAATTGAGCTAGACTCATAAAAGTTCAATAGATTTGAGTAGGGGTTTTTACATAATTTCGTCCTCTAACTCGACAAGAGGATGGAGTATTATTAGAAGAAAAATGATACAAGTACATAATAAATGTATATAGAGGTGTACATAACACTCACATTGAGTGGGGTCCACTTGATTTTTTATATTGGATGAGTCTCACTCAATGTCAGTGTTATGTACACCACTATGTACAATATTATATACCTATAACATTTTTCACTAAAAAATGACTGCCGAAAGCATGTAAAGTGGAACGTTTCCTTCAATCAAAAGGCTATAGAATTTTGCAAAGTAACCCCACATCTGCAATAATTATTGCAAAGAGACAATGGCGGATCTACGCAGAGGCTAGCCTAGGCAATTGTCTAGGTTGGATTTTTGGTGCTAATACATAATTTATATAGTTAACATGTATTAATTAAAATTTTATATTTAATATTTGTAAAAATATAAATACATGTATTTATCCTAAATCAAAAATAATTCTTGCAAAATTACATTATATTTTTATTTAAAATGATATACCTCACCTGTCAGATTCAACAATCTATACTATATTATTTTTAGTACTTATATTATATAATAAGTTTGACAAATAAATTTATTGTTTTTTCAATTATAATTGATGAATATTTAAATTTTTATTAATAGAGATCAAATAGATATAATTATTAATTTATATATACGATATGAATGTCAAATTATAGATCGTCAAAATCTGACTAATTTCATTTATCATACATAACAAATAATAACAAATATAAGTGTTATTAACTTTTAAAATATATTTGCAATTTAAGTTAGTCAAGTGTTCAAATTTGAAAGTTCTAGATAAAGGTCCATATTTATATGGACTATTTTGAATCCTTAGAAACTAACAAATAGAATTACAAAGTTTGGTAGTTGACAATGAAAAACTCTGTTAATAAGATAATCCATAAGGAACTCTTTATAAAATAATAGAAATACAAATGATGACATTTTGGCTTTTCTTAAATTAATAAATTATATTTCAAAATGATTTGTTTATAACAAAAAATGAAGGAAAAGTGATTATAAAATATTTTTGGTATATTTTTCTAATAATAATAAAAATGTGAAATCAAATAACCAAACTTTATTCTCTATTTCATTTTTTAGTATTAAGTCAAAGTCAATTTGAATAGGGAACACTTCATGACCTGATTGTTTCAATGATTTATTTCATTGTTAATATAAGTATTTTGTGCAGTACGTTGAAAAAAACATTCAACTATTTTTTGCTCTGACTCATGAAAATTTTTAGATCCGCCGCTGCAAACATATATACATTACATTCATTATTGGTGCAAAATTTCATCGAACCTAGTAATTACTCGTCCGAAGGCATGATTAACAAGAACAAAGGTGGTCCCTTGCAAATATCGAATGCAAAGTTAATCAGTTAACCATAAAAAAGGAAATACTCNACAGTTTATACCACTTATATTTGTTTTAATTTTATCTCCCTTATATGTAATTTTCGGACGCGCTAAGCTTAAGTGACAACTTTACACGCTTTGTAATCTTATGTGAAAATATATTATGATTTATAATATGACTTGCATAAAAATTACTAATTCTTTATATCAATCAGTTTGAGTTTGGATTGCCATATATATACATATTTATTATATTTAAACTATTTCATATAAATTTATTTATTATTTTATTTCTATATTATGCATATTATCCACTGTTCTAAAAATCAGCCTAGGCGCTAGACGGTGTCCGGGCGCCTCCGATTTGTACAAATCGACAGAAAAAATTGGCCAGGCGGCTAGGCGGGCATTGGCGGACCTAGGCGCTCCTAGGCGGGCTCGGCGGCAATTTTTCAATTTTTTTTTATTTTTTTAAATACTAATTACATTATTTTGTTATCATGTTTTCTTTAATATATACTAATATTATTATTTAGACTTTGGTGTGTGAATTTATTATATGTTGAGATAATTTTATTTTGTAGGTAGTTAAAATAAATAAAAAATAAGGTATTTACTATTGATTTCTGGGCCCCGCCTAGGCCCCGACTAGGCGCTCTAGGCGCTAGGCATTGGTCGAGCGCCTAGCGGGCGCTTAGCGACTTTTAAAACACTGATATTATCTTACTTTCCTAATTTTGTGCTTTGTCCATATTATTCCTTTATATGTTTTAAATAAAAATATTATAAATAAAACTAATGATATATATAAATTAATTTTCAGAATTTAAAATGATATTGTTAAGTTACTTAGTTCTTTATTATAAATAATTAAATATTGTTCCTTATGTATTTTTTTCAACTTAATAAAATATATTGCCATTTTTTCTTTTATTTTTTGTTGTACATTTAATTATTTTATCAAAGATTTATATAATACACGGGTATTGTACTAGTAAACATCTACAAAAAAATATTTAAATAAACATTGAAATCAAATCCCAAGTAGTTTTTCTAAATAATTATAACTCCAAATACAATTGAGCCTTCTATAATTGTAGCTAATTTAGCAACAACCCACAGTACCTTATTACACAGTAACATGATATACTCATATTAATGTACATTTGCATACATTCGCAGCCACAAACACACTCAAGACAGAGAGAGTCCCTGGCCCTTTTAGCCTGAAGTGAGGTCAAATGCCTGACAGTTACCTCACAGAAAGGATATTATTAATGGACAAATCAAAAGAAAAAAAGATCCAATCTTTTTGCTAAAGAATAACAACGAAAACAGCCCCTGAATTTCATGGTTAAAGAAAAGCATTATCAGTGAGAAAATATCCAAAAACACAGAGTTAATCTGCCCACAACTTCACAGCCTGTGGCAGCCCTTCGAATTTCCTGACAAAACCCCCCTCAACAGTTTTTGAGATAAAATCCAACAATCCCCATGTGGGTTTTTCTCCTTTTACTCCAACAAAGATAAAAATAAAAAGAATCTCCTTTTCATCTTCTACTCTGCTCATTTTCTTCATTTCGTTCTGGTTTTTGTTTTTTCCCTTTGTTTGTGTGTTCTTTTGTTCATTTTCGTTCCCAGTCATGTGGGATTCTGAAACTGAATCTGTGGGAGGACGAGACTATGGCAATGGAGTTCTATCCACCAGCAAACCCGGCGTCAAAACCGACGGCTTCGAACAACGAGGCCAATCTTGGTATGTCTCATTAAAGTTTCAATCTTTTTACTTCTTTTCAGAAAACAATCATAGTTTCCGTGTCTATTGAGCTGAAACACTAATAAAAACCATATAATCCCATATGTTCCTCGCAAAAACTAGGTACGTAGCTACTGATATCCCAAGTGACCTCCTTATCCAAATTGGTGACGTCAGCTTCCATCTACACAAGGTGGAGTAATTTACTTAAATTCGATTGTTTTCTTGTTTTCATAAAATATGAACTTGGAATTTTTATTTTCCAAAAAAAAAAAATTGAACAGTACCCCCTTCTATCCCGGAGCGGCAAAATGAACCGAATCATATACGACCCGCGCGAACCCGACCCTAACCGCATAATCCTCGACGACCTACCCGGCGGCCCGGCCTCCTTCGAGCTGGCAGCCAAATTCTGCTACGGAATCGCAGTTGACCTAACCGCAGCCAACATCTCGGGCCTCCGCTGCGCGGCCGAATATCTCGAAATGACGGAGGATTTAGAAGAAGGCAACCTCATCTTCAAAACTGAGGCCTTCCTCAGCTACGTAGTCCTCTCCTCTTGGCGAGACTCGATTATCGTGCTGAAAAGCTGCGAGCCCCTTTCCCCGTGGGCCGAGAATCTCCAGATCGTGCGCAGGTGCAGCGAGTCCATTGCTTGGAAGGCCTGCGCGAACCCGAAAGGGATCCGGTGGCAGTATACGGGCCGGGCCTCGTCGAGCCCGAGGTGGAATAACGAGGCTAAGGATTCGGGCCATTCGGCCAGCCCGGGCAGGGCAGCTGTTCCGCCCGATTGGTGGTTTGAAGATGTGTCGATTTTGCGGATCGATCATTTTGTGAGGGTTGTGACGGCTATCAAGGTGAAGGGTATGAGGCATGATCTTATTGGGGCTGCTATTACGTATTATGCCGGGAAGTGGCTCTCGGGACAGGTGGCAGAAGATGGTGGGAGTAGTGGCGGTGGGGGGTGGAAAGGTGGGTTGCATATGATTGTGTCGGGGGTTAAGGAAGAAAGTTTGCCGGCTGCAAGCTCTCTGCAGGTAAGTTTGTAAAAGAAATCGGATTTGAATGGGAACGCTTATTGTGATTTGAATAGGAATATGGAGATGAAAAAACTGAGATGTTTGATTTGGATAACGTTCAAATATTCGATGCGTGAATCTTGGTAGTTCAGGAACTAGGATTATTCGTACTTATTCCATTCAATAAAAGATAGATCAAGTTTTCTTGAAAGTGTCCCAAAATGAGAGTCTTGTTTCTTTAGATAGAGTATTTAGATCATGAAATTTGTTTGAAACAGTTGAAAAAATAAGCGCACTCGTTCTGTAGCGGATCTTTTACAAGATCAACTCGGATTGTCTTTGGTTCGTTTAGAAAAATGTGGTTCAGAGGAACTATATTTAGAGATCCGTTTACTTTCTCATTTTTGGAAATTGGCATAAGCCTGTATTTGTAGGAGAGGGAATTGTATATTTAACATTACTTTTACTTATGGATGAACACCATCTTATGTTCAATTTCCATGATATAAACTCTGTCTATGAATATCCGAATAAAATTCGAACTCATATACAGAAGGCGATGAATTCGAATCCAAGCATACTCACATTCGATTTCGATTCATTTCATTTTACGGAAAATCTATGCATGACGTGCGTGCAGGCCAAGGACCAGAGGATGATAGTGGAGAGCCTGATAAGCATAATCCCCCCACAAAAAGACAGCGTCTCATGCAGCTTCCTCCTCCGACTTCTGAGAACAGCCAACATGCTCAAAGTAGCACCTGCACTCGTCACGGAGCTCGAAAAACGTGTCGGAATGCAATTCGAGCAAGCAGCCCTAGCCGACCTCCTCATACCCACTTACGGGAAAACCGAGACCATGTACGACGTGGACCTCGTGCAGCGCCTGCTAGAGCACTTTCTCGTGCACGAGCAGTCGGAGGATTCGAGCCCCAGCCAGCAGCAGCAGCAGTTGTTATCAGACGATGGGGCCCACAGAGCAGTGGTGGGAAATCCGAATGCCAAGGCCAGGGTGGCGAGGCTGGTCGACAGCTATTTGACTGAGGTGTCAAGAGATCGAAATCTTTCGTTGACCAAATTTCAGGTTCTGGCGGAGTCTCTTCCAGACTCCGCCAGGACCTGCGATGACGGGCTGTATAGGGCCGTCGATTCCTACCTTAAGGTAATAATATGTCTCGATTTTTCGTTTTCAAATATCAAAAGTATTTATATATAGGGTAAATAATTTTTTCCAACCTGTACTATACGTGTTTTTGGGAACCTAAAGTATTTTATTTTTTTTCTTGTAAAATGCAACTTGAACTATATATATACAATTATTTGCACGCTCGACTACTTTTTGACCGTCTGATCATCCGCAAAAAAGGACACGTGTATGGTCAAGATGTGGTCGAGCGTGCAAATAGTGACTGTATATATAGTTCAGGTAGCATTTTACAACAAAAAAAATACTTAAGGTTGAAAATCTCAAAATCACGTATAGTACAAATTGAAAAAAATTATTTACCCTTATATATATATATAATTATATACACATTACAGGCACACCCGACGCTAACCGAGCACGAGCGCAAACGGTTGTGCCGAGTGATGGACTGTCAGAAGCTGTCGATGGACGCGTGCATGCACGCGGCCCAAAACGAGCGGCTACCGCTGCGCGTGGTGGTCCAGGTCATCTTTTCCGAGCAGGTCAAGATCAGTAACGCACTCGCCACGTCATCTTTGAAGGAACCCTCCGGTGGTGGGCCCCACCACTACCAGCCCCTCGTCCCCAGCCGGCGGACTCTGCTGGAGGGCACGCCTCAGTCGTTTCAGGAGGGTTGGGCCGCTGCTAAAAAGGACATTAATACCCTTAAGTTTGAGCTCGACGGCGTGAAATCCAAGTACGCGGAGCTTCAGGGAGAGGTGGAGGCCCTGCAGCGCCAGCTGGACCGGGCCGCGATCAAGCCCAAGCAGTCATCGTCCGCGTGGACCAGCGGGTGGAAGAAGCTCAGCCGACTGGCCAAGACGAATGATGTGGGCCCCACGCAGCACCAGGAGTCGGGTGGCCCGAATGACGTGGCCCGGAAGGGGCCCAGGAGGTGGAGGAACTCCATTTCTTGAAGCTCTTGGGCTTTTCTACTTTCTCTGTTTTGAGTTTTGTC